CACACACACACACACACACACACACACACACACACACACACACACACACACGAGTTATTATCGTCACAGTCTGAGAGTAAACAAGCACACTTATTACAGCTAATCTGGGTCTCAATCTAAGCTACCTCTGGTCTGGAGGTGGCCCAGGACATGATCTGTTCATCCAGACCAGATGCCCATTTACTGTTGTCCTGGAAAAACAGAGTGGAACACGGTTATTACATTCAACAGTAGGTGTTAATTAGATGATAAACAGTTGAAGCAGCAGCAGCCTCCCTCACCATGAGCAGAGCCATCTCGTCTTTGGGCACGGGCTCCAGGTCGGGAACGGAGAACGACTCGGAGAAGGAGGTGCCTCGAGCGAGGGCCTCCGCCGCCTTGACCGTCGTAGAGAAGCAGTCCAACCAGGACCACTCGCTGGCGCACCAGACGGCCGTGCCAGACTCCGGTGGGCAGTGTCGGAGGTTGGGCGGCACGGGGGGGCGACACAGGAGCTGGTCCAGGTGGAGCCCCACGGCCAGGGAGGCTAGGCACTGCATGTAAGGGCTGTGGACGAGCTGCTCGCCACACACCACGTGGGGCTGGAGGAGGAGGAAACATCAACAACTGGCAATGATGGAGAATAATCACCCTCAAGTGATGAGTAAATGTGTGTGAAAACTGTTAAAATGTTAAGAAAAATACCCGAGAAATATTTGAATGTTATTTGTAAGATATGTGAAAAAAATTATAAATATATATAGATTATATATTTACAAAAAATATCCCAAGAAATACGGAAAACTACAAGAAGATTATATATGTGAAAAATATCCAAATATTATTTGTAAAATATTTAAAAAATAAAATATGTGAAAAAAGTCCAAAAAATATCTTTAAATTGTAGTAAAATATGTGAAGAAAAAACACTGTCAGAAAAATGTCAAAAATATATCCAACAAATATCAGAAAAATGTGAAACACATTAAACATGGGAAAAAAAATTGGCATAAATGCCATCTGCTGGACGGTCCAGCATTGCCATGACACGTGTGAAAAGGTGCAAGATGGAAATGTTCTAGAGTGTCGTGCATGTGTGAATAATGAACATCACAAATGATGCCTGACAGACTATCCCATTAACATCTCAAGAATTATGTGTGAAAGAGGCTTTAGACCTGAGATAGATATTAAACGTGCGTACCTTCTCGTAGGCGTACTGCTCCTGCAGCATGACAGGAAGTCTCTCCAGGAAGGCCCTCATGCAGGGCGCCATGTTGAGGCCGACCACTCCCTGCTTCTTCAGAGCGGTGCGACAAGTGGCCAGCACATGGTTGGACGCCATGAACTCTTTGGAGCAGTTCACCACCAGCACGTCCTGGAAGAGAAGCAGACCGGAGAGTAAATAGATATTCATCTCATCACAGCGATGCGGCTAGAAACATGGGGGGGGAACAAAGGTGTACAGATGTGGTACCTTGGACCTGTTGGAGCAGACGGCCACACCAACATCTGGGATCCAGACAATATTCTGGATCGCACCTGAACCGGCGACCACTGTCTGCAGCACCGACCCGTCCTGTTGGAAACACACACACACACACACACACACACACACACACACACA